AGCAGGAGCATTTGGCCAAAAAAATTAATTAAATCTTAATATATATATATATATATATATATAACTCGAGTGTGCGTGTTTCTTAGACAGATAAGTAAGCGGTATCGGTGGAACGGAGTGAAGAAATAAGTAAATAAAAGCGTATCTCCGTACTGAAAGGAAATGGTAAGAATTGAAAGATTAATAAATCAGCAGAGAATGCGTAAAGAAAGAAAGAAAAAGATTTGATTTTTAATGGTGTTGATGATGATGATGATTCAGTACAAAGAAACTGTAGACTAGTGGTCTAATGGGGCTGTTTCCTTTTGTTGCACTACTCCAAGGTAGGCCTGCCTTCTTCTTCTTCCTTTCTTAAATATTTGCTTCTTCTTCAAAAAGCTGCTGCACCGCACAATGCATCGCTTTCTTCACAACATTCCCTACACACACGTAACCTCTCAATAGATCAGAAACTCAAGTCATTAAAAAAAAGAAAAGAAAAGAAAAGAAAAAGAGAAGTTAATATTAACTGATGAATCAACCTACATAATAATGTTCGATTCAAAGCATCTATACATGGTAATGTTTGTAATCAACTAGGCTGTTTTGGCTTTGCGTATTAACTTTTTGATCAAATTTGCATATATATAATTAGACATTTGCCTATGTATGCAGCACTTGTACCGGTGTCTTCCATATTTCACCAAATTAAAGACAAGCGAAATGAAGTTCAATAATGATCTTCAAGCCCTACTGAACTGTTTAAGATTATGTATACGTTGGTTTATTCCTTCTTCACACACACAGAGTTACACGCTAGTTTCTTGAGCACCCAGCTTGAAGATAATTGGTTTGCATTGTTCCGTTGAAGGTAAAAAAGAATTAAAAAAAAAAAGAGTTAGAATAGCATGCTATGTACATACATAGGCTATCTGAGATATGCGTGCACTGATAGCTTTACGTATCTGTCATCTGTCATAAATACAGGATATAAGCTTGTTGATCTATATGTTACCATCATGTTTGCTGTACGATCAAACAATATCGCTTCGTGCTTCATGCTTGGTCAATGTAAGCACACGAATCGGCATGGTGGTCTTCCAAATCTAACTCTACTCTGCACTATTCATCCGGTACAACAACAAGAGGCTCATCTCTCCCATGGTAGCTAGGGGGGCCTGAAGATGATCTTTTATCATTGACTACTTTTTCAAGAAGCACTCAATCTCAGTGTGCGTGTGCGCGTCTACAAAGCATCGTAAACAAAGGATTTTGTTTTTTTTTTTTCATGCTTGTCACACTTCAACAATATATGATTCATGAGAGATAACCAAATTACCTTTAAGTATATAAAAAGTGTTGACATTACAAAAACCGGAAAGCAGGCATGTCATCCAAAACTATAATTTGAAAGTGATTATTCATGTAGAGGAGATGACTCAGATGAGTGCGGGCTCATGTAGAGATTAGAATGAAGCAGAAAGGTAAAAGGGGGAAGCCCTAAAAGGTTAGAGAAAGAAAGTGGTAGACCCCTTTTAAGGGAGAAATGAAGAAGCATAGGTAGGCAGGAGAGCGCCAGCTAAGAGCAATACAAATATTAATAGGCTCTGCCCACAAACCCGCTACTTGAAGTCGATCATTTGGCAGCACCCCCACCCCCCCTGTATTGGTCCCCTATCCTACCTATCATCCCTTTATATTACTTCTTTATTAATATTTCTATGCACATAGCATACATCCCTCCCTTTTATCATCCCCTTCTCTCTCTTCTGTCACTGATATCAATGTTCAGAAATCACACAACCAAGAATTCAGTGTCCACTCTCTCTCTCTCTCTCTCTCTCTCTCTCTCTCTCTATGTGTCTGCATTCATATATACAGTCAAACAATAACCCTAGCTAGCTACAAACACATTCATGGTCAAGGAGCTGTGTATCGTGTCCATATATGCATATTTGTGCCTTTTGATATTTTTCTCTCTTTTGGGTTCTAAAGTTGGTGTTAATTGATCTGTCAGGGGCTCAGTGTTAATGTAGACCAAGATTCGGACAGTTAAGAGAGCAAGAGGGTTGGTGGAATTGTTAAAAGAAAAGGCTAGCTAGGTGGTGAATAAGTTGAGAGATGATGAATTGTGAGTTTTGAGGTTTAGTCGTGGTCAGTGCATGGGCTCGCATACCCAGTCACCAATCAGTAATCATTGTCCCTTCTAATCTTCAATCTGCATATTTCTGTTTCTGCATGACCACCCTCTCCTCATTGTCTCTTTTTCCTTTTTCCCTTCCTTCTAAACAATTCACTGTTCTAACACTGACGCTTCCATCACTCACATATGACACATATAGTATGAACTAACTACATATTCCCAACTCTAATGCATTGCCATTGCGATTTTTGGACAACCTAAGGTTTGTGCACGGTTACGTCTCAATGCGCTCATCTTCCTGTCAATGAATTAGTTAGTTGCATTTCTAAGCAAAGAGTTGCTAGTACCGTGTGTGAGAGAGAAAGAGAATCTCTGGTTTGTGGGATAGTAATGATAAGAAAGGTGAAAACTGAAAATGGTATCCCCAATCATGTCGATACAGGACTTGAGTCCATCCACGCTCCGACAATTTGAGCACTGTACTTGGAACAAAGTCCTTCAAATCATCATTTCGCTTTGTCAGTCTTTACCCTTTTCTTGGCCTTTTCTGTTCTCATTTGATCTCCTTCGATGCTTTCGGTTTTGGGTCTCTGAACCTCCGCGGGTATGCTTTTACCGTATTACCGAAAGAAGGCTTCTGGCCCAACCTTGAGTGAATCCAGCAAAACCTAATCAAGGCCTAGTTTTATTATTATTATTATTATTATTATTATTATTATTATTTATTTATTTTTTTTTTTTTTTGGGTGAAGAAGACCAAGTTTCTTCGGCCCAAGGGTTTCAACATGATAGGGCGGAAAGAGACTAATAAAGCTGGGGGCCGGGGGCCAATTTTATAATTTTGTAACATAAAACTATATATAGATAAAATAATTTAATTTTTTATTAATAATTAAAAATAATTTTATAATAGAATTGAGAAAATTTACAAGATAACAAATTATTTATAAAAGACTTAAAAAATCAAGAAAAAAAGCTTTGCAAAATATATAAAAAATACTCACACTATAAAATTTAAAACAAATTAATAATATATTTATAGTTTTATCTACTATTACTTATAAAGATACTTTTCTGATTTTATTTATAAGTCATTTTTAATATATTTTTAACTTGTTTAAAAAATTAATAATTTTTCAATTTCGGCCCTATTAAATGTATATACTTTAATAATATACTTTATCTCTTCAATATTTAATAAAGAAAAAAAATTTGTAATAAAAATTTAATGCTTTAACTTATAAAAAAGATATAAAAAAAACTCATCTCTCTACCCTTTAAGTAAAAAAGCTACATATAAGTAAATGTAAGGACTAGAGAGTAAAGAATGTATACTTGCATAGAGATTAGAGAGTAAAAAATGCATAGTGAAAGTATGGTGAAAGTGAAAGTTTAAAAGATTGAGGGGCCAAAGCAGTAATCTTTTCCTTATAGAAAATCACCTCGTAACTTGGTAAAAAAATTTTGATACCTAGGTCCGCCCCTGAACATGAAGTTGAAGCGAAACCAAAAGGTCGAAAACCTTAACCTGGATCCATGGTTACTGGCTCTAAACCTTGCCATCTTAGATGTCGTAGATCACTTTATGAGTTGGTCAGTTTCCTAATTATCTATTTATATCTCAACAAAAAAAAAAAAGAATCCATTTTTATTGAAAGAATTTGTTTTGTTGTTGATGTGTGAGTGGACTCGATATAAAAATACTCATATAAAATAAAATAAACTTAATAATTAATATATAATAAATAAAAAGGTTCATAAATATTGGAGTTTTGAATTATTATTTTTTTTGTTACTTTTGTCATTTTCCCTCCATTTTCAAGTCGCCACTTCCCATGCCTAACAAAATTATTTATATTTAATAGATTATTTCAATTTAAATTTACAAAATGATGATGATATGACGAAACTGTTCCAAAGGACATTTACTAATGGAAAATGACAATTAAGGGCCTGTAAGACTATTGATTACAGTATGACCCTAAATTATTAAAATTTTAACAATGAATCATGGTCCTTACTTAAAATTAAAAGCAAATGAGTTTAAAATTAAGAAAAAACAAGCTATTAAAATTGCTATTATGAGTTGAAAAAATTAGAAATCACATTTAAAAATGGATTGTTTTTAATATAAAGCTAAAACTTACTTTTAAAACTTTCTAAAGATTCTTATGAACATATGATAATAGTTTGAAAATTTAATAAAATCATTTTTGAATATAAAGACAATCATTTGTAATTTTTTTTATTAATATATGGGTAAATCACTTGAAAAATCAAGCATTATTAAAATTATTATCGTAGATTGAAATTATTGTTAATCTCAACTAGGAAAATTAAGATCTCAAACGTTATGGGTTAGGTTTGCTGAAATTATTATACATTATAGATAGGGACTATTGTTAATTCCATTTCTAAGTGTTGACCCTGATTTTTTAAACTAAGATTAACAATAATCTCAATCCATAATAATAATTTGAATAATGTCTTTTTTTACTTTAAACTCATGTTTTTAATTCAAAATAAGGACCAAAATTTATTATTAAAAATTTTAACAATTCAAAGTCCCTAATTATAATTAATAATCTTATGAAGTTCTTAATTATCATTTTCTCTTAACAAATTTGTCCATCTTGGTAAAGAACTATGTTTCAATCTTGAAGGAACTAGTGAAAGGAAGAATAGAACTTAGCCAGGATGTAGCATGTTGCATCATGTCCCTCCTGGCTCCTGATGAACTGATGTGAACAAGTTGAAACAGAGCAATCTGTTTCGTTACGTACCACTCAAAATTTTCGTTCTCTGGTTCTGACATGACCTGCCTTGAAACAAAGTTTTGCGTTCTTTTCATGTCGAAAGAAGAATTGAATACGGGAAAGAAAAAAAAAAAATTGCGTTTTCCTCTTCCATCATTTTAGCCAACAAGGTGTTCTTACACTGAACAAAATTGTGTAATAAAGAAACTCAGTATGAGTGAAGACTTGGGCTACTATTCATGGTACACTTAACTTTCCTATATATACATGATTACAACTCTCACACATGCTATACATTTCTCTGCCCAACTCAAGAAGATGACAAGAGAGAGCACAACTTCAAAATTTACTTGGCGTTTCGTTCTTCTTCAAATTTGAGCTGTTGGATCCTTTGACGCAGTCTACGCCTGTGGTAATGTATCTTCCAAAGGCCATGCCCCAATATAACAGCAGAGTATATGCCGTGCGTGATTATGGGAGACAGAATATTATTTGTCTGTCACATTTTCATTACAATAAAGAGCCATTAGTGTGTGTGTGGGTGGGGGTGTCATTCACAAATAAATATCCTTTCACTTTGAAACCCAAAACTTAGCCTCTAAAACTTCCACCTTCCAACATTAAAACGTGGCATTGTCTCCATTGTTCACTTAAGACCAATAATGGAAAAAAGGCAAGTGACAGGAGAAGGATGTGAAGTTATATCTCCATTAAGGGGAAACTGATGCAAGGCTTTAAAAGCTGAGGCGTGGAAGTTTAAGGGTGTCATATTCAGATTTTTGAAGGGAACCAATTCTGGGAGAATGACAACTAAGGACCTCTTAAAAAGGTTAATACCAAATCAGGACTTTTAAAGATTTTCACTACCAGGATGAGTATTGAATTTAGGAACCTACTCCCTCTGGTCCACTATATAGGGTATAGATAACTACTTTATGATTTTAACAAAAGTTAGTTGCAACCTTAATTTTTTAAAAAACTGCATATCTTTCCATGCCTTATTAATAACAATTGAAATTCTAATGGACTGTCTTTTCAAAAGAAATAATAAATCAAAGGTATATTTGGAAAAAAATTATAAGAACTACCCAACGCCTTATATTTTGGAGGAAATGATGCTACTAGAAAATGCCTTATATTATGGATAGGAGCTAAGGACTAAGTTATGGTAAGATCCTAATTTGACATTAATTTTCTGATGAGATCCTTAGTTGTCATTCTTCCATGTATTTTTTTTCCCAGTGAAGTACAGAGAATAAGCAAATTAAGATTACCTGGATCCATTCGAAACCTAGGTAGAGGGCCAACAATCCTTCCAGAAGTGGGGAATATATTTTCTTCATTTGCCTTTTCTCATACCATGCTGCAACACCAGAAACAGACATTAACAAAGGTAGAAAGCGTACAAGTAAACCACAATAAGAAAATCCCACTAGAATTTCATTTCCCAACCAAACGGAGCTTTCTTTAACTATGTCCTTGATTGACAACTAACAACTGAGAAACAGCCTAAATCTTCATATCCGTTGAAGACAACTAGAACTAATCTCATCACCAGGTAAGAACTAGTTACTGCTTGAGACTTTCATTGTGTGCGTGTGCGTGCGTGCGTGCGTGCGTGCGTGCGTGTGTGTGTATCAGTACTCAGCCACAAAGGGCAATACTAAAATCCATAAATCAGGTCAATAGTCTGTCAAGTACACGATTAATAATTTGAACAAAGTAAACATCCAAATACAATGGGAAACAGGACAGATGTGCAAGTTAAGTTAGCCTTCATGTTTAGCTAATAGGAGAAAAAGGATTGAACCTTCAAACATTTTTTTCAAATCTTGACGACCTGAGCGAGATTGTAATACCGGTGCTACGATGTAAGTAGGATCTGAAATAAAAATTAAGAACAAAGAAAGAACACTTGTTAGCAGCATTAAGTAATCAGCTTTGGATTCATTTTAAGCAAAGTAACAAGAGGGGGGGTGAATAACGATAACAAAAGATGACCTTTAGGAGAGGCAGCTACATAATAGAGAGAACCAGTAAGGACAGCAGTAAGCACAGCAGCAAATGCCTGAGCAAATGGAACAAATGGAGGCAATACCCCTGTCTGCAACTTGCAAAAACATCAAATCATGTCATTCGATTGATGATGACGAAGAACAAGACAATTCGAATTAAGAAAGCTTAACAAAATAAGATTGACTTAAGTGAAAAAAGAATGGAACATTTACCAAAGATGCCATTCCCCGAGCATCAGCTATTAGATCACTGCCACGTAGGAATATATCAGCCAATGCTCCCTGTAGAGTTTCACTAATAAATTATTCATCTGACATACTATGCCAAGCAATCAAAATGAAAAATACTAGTTTATTAAGTGAACGAGCCCCTTAGACTAATAAACTCCACTTTTCTTACCAAGCTCCTCGACGTGGGATTCATAATAGTAAATCAAGGCTACAATTTTCTGGGTGACTTAAGTTACCTTCCGTTGAATTAAAAATTATTCATATCTCTCTCTCCCTCTTTTTATTTTTGGCACTATCGAATTAATAACTTTAGCCAACTGTAACCAGGATTACAAATAAACAAGACTCAAAATCAGGTTTTGAAATCAAAGTTTATCTCAAGATATTTCAAGGACATCACCAAGCAGATATGATGAAACCAATCAAAGCATCTGAACAAATTACAAACCTGAACAGCAGCCCGGTAGAAGAGCTCCTCTCCTACAGAACTTGCAGCAACCATCAGTATAAACTGCAAAGTAAAATCAAATAAACCACTTATTCTTTATAATTGCACTAAAATAAAGATTACTCAGAGCGTCAACCTGTTAAAAAAAAAAAATTACCTGCCAAGGGGACATCCCGTAAAAAAAGCTCCATAGTTCCTCATCTTCCACGTCTCTGATAGCACGAGCATGAGGTGATAGCTTCACAATTTCATCCTAAGATTATGCATGTAAGTTAGCAAAGAAAAACCAAAGTTTCTTTTTTCCTACAAATGTCCCCAACATCTCACATGTTTCCCACAGTACATGGAAATACAATTACTAATAAAAGAAGAGAACTTTATACCATAATTGAACTTACATCAAGAATAAACAACAGAGCCATGATTGGAGGAGCTGCGTAGCCGAGTCCTTCCAAAATTGCATCTATTGATAGCTGGAAACCGCCCATGGAATCGATTCCAGTGATCGAGCATATAAAACTCCCCGCGACAGCCATGGCCCCGTATATCCCTGAAACCAAACATCACATAAAATCAATTCGACCAACTCGAATATTAACTATTTCAGGAAAAAAGAAGCTTTCTTTGATTCATTTCTACAGCAAACAATAATGAAAAAGCGTGGTTTTACTTTTAAGTTTGACTGCGAAGCTTGCTTACCGATGCCATAGCTGAGCCTGACGACAGCACCAATCTTTTCCCAAACGGGGAAATCAGCGTCGTTGAAAGTCCGATTCAATGTGGTGACCTCCATAGCCGGGTTAGTGAACCCGACCCGGTTCTCTCCCTCCTCGATTGCATCGCCACTTTGCTCAGCTAAAGCCTTGACGCAGCGTACAGAGAGCCTAGTGGCGTCAAAGTAAGTCCTTTTCTTCCTGGATTGAAAATCGCAGAGCTTGGAGGAGCAGTGGGCGAGGGCTACAGAAAATGATGTGGTTGCTGAATGGTTAGGAGTGAGTGTGAGAGGAAGCTCCATTACAGAGCAGGACGATTCAAGAGTAGAGAGATAGAGTCACACACAGCTCAGAGCCAAAGCTGAAGCTGAAGCAGACTTGTTTGTTTGTCGTCCATCGACTGGTTGTGATATTATATGAACGAATGGCTCAGCAGTTCGAATCGAAGTTTGGAACAATATTGATTTCTTAAGTCTGTTGTTTTCGTATTTGAAAGAACCTCGTGTGACGGTGAAACGACGATCTGTTCTGCTGAATTTCTGATATTTCCCGTGGATTAATCTTCCTGTGGGAATATCCCACCCACCAATCAATGCGTGACATGTGGAGATAACGTTACCTCTTCCTTCTCATCTTGATTCTAGATTAGGGAAGATTTATTCCTTAATAAGTTGGTTAATCTAGTTAAGTATATAAAAAGTTTCTGGCCAAACAAAACAGTTAAGTCTAAAAAGTATTTCTTTTTGGGGAAATTCTATATCGTCTATTTTAAACGTGAAAGAAACTTAGAAGTGATTTTAATTTTAAATAATAAAGTTAATTTCTTAAGCAGTTAAATAAGTTTTAAATTTTTTTATATTCAAATAAATATAAACATTTGATTAATTTAAGTTACCTCAAACAATTAAAATAAAATTAAATATTTTTTTAAAATTTTTAAAATCAATATCAATCATAATAAAATATAAAAATTATAAGAAACCACGTTATTTTGTGAATATTAATGCTCAATTTTCACACTCCACGTGTAACACTCCATCTAATTAATCTGGACACCTGACATATTATTGTAATAATTAAAGTTTTAAATATGTAATTAATAATTACCATGATACAAGAATTAAACTTGTTTATAAAAACACCAGCCATAAATCCAAATTTTCATTTATATCGAAACAAAATCGTAGATCCATAATATTCTAAGCAAAATCATAAGCATCCAGCCTTGTCTATTAGCATTCATCTTCATGTGCAAAAATACAAAGTAGTATTACTCATCACAAGTGCACGGATCATAATAAATAATATAATAAAAATAAAGTATCGTTCTTTCGAAAATTTGTTTAAAAATAGTGATCAAATAAAAGGTTAAGCAAATTGAATCAAATTAAGCAAAACATAACTAGGTGAAAGTTAATGTAGCAAACTAAATTAAAATTGATAAATAAAAGAAACAAATTGATTCACAAACTTCAAAAATAAATTTGGACCTAAGATTATTTATTCTCCTTGTATCTCATAATACTAAAATCACCTCCTCCCCTAAATGCTTTTAATGAAAATAAATGCTAATTTAAAGTCCTAAAAATACTTGGACAAGGTCTCTCAAGTTATAAACAAGTGTTTAGTTAAATTAATTACCAAATCTATTGTTACAATTAATAAAACTCAATTTTTAACTCCAACCCTAATATAGTTATACAAGGCTAACAAATATATCTCTATCTTGCTAGAAAAACTATCTATTCAACATGCAAATATCAAATTCTTACACTATGTTATCCAAGTTCTGCACTCAATCGAATCCTCTCAAGCATCAATCAAGTAAATTTAACATCTAAATGGTGGTCAATCACTTAAAAGCATTAAGAAAAGAGTAAAATCAATACACACACACACACACACACACACACACACACACACACATATCATTAATTACAAAAAGAGAGGAGGAACATAGTGTTAGTCTATACAAGGGTTTCAAATAATCTTAAAACAAAGTGTTTTAGCTATTCATAATCATCCAAAAGATATAAATACACAAAATATTTGAACCCATATTAGAATATAAGAGAGGAAAGGGAAGAGGAATAAAAAAACTAAAGAAAATAAACTCTAAATGTCTTTAAAACTCCATTCTTTTAAACCCAACTCTTCTGATACCCAAACCCTAGCACACAAAGCTTTAAATGGTTGCTCAAAGTTTAAAAAGTACGTTTTAGGTTGAGCTCTCAGCATATATATATATATATATATATCTTGACCAACCAAATGTAACGTTTTTTTTTGACATGGCGAAAATCGCAAATGAAAGTCACAACTTTTTGATGACTTTGACAATTTTAAACTTTTTTTGCAATTAACAAAATTTATCCTTTTTGCACTTATTTTTTTCATCCAAAATCCTTTCAAAAGTATTAACAAAGCTCTAAAAATGTAACAAATCAAATCTTAAATCAAAATAACACAAAATTAAGTCAAAATATTAAATTAAAGATAAGAATATAAACCAAAACAAAATATGTATTTTTTTAATTTGGGCAATAAAAATACATACAATTGAGCTAAAATAAATTAAAATTTAAAAAAATGTGATGAAATAATATGAAATTTTAGATGTTAACAACTAGTCATATAATTAATTAAAGATTTCAACAATTAAAATTTAAAGTTAGTCAATAGAAATCAGACTACATGAGCCCTATGTGGCAATAAACAAATCAAATGCACAAAATAAGGCCAACATAAAATAACATTTTAATTCATGCCCCAAGTCTCCCTCCCAACAATTCACCCTTAGAATCTATACATGAAAATATTAAATTGCAAGGTGAGCCAAAAGCCTAAATAACTAAAAAAACTAATTTGAAAAGTTTACAAATATGGAATATAGGAATTAAAAAAAAAAAAACACACACACACACACAAATCAAACAATCATCCAAACATAAAAACATTATAACCTTTACTTCTAACCGAACTTGAGACAACTTGAGATGTAACCTAGCCAAAGGTTACAGAGCTCTCCCAGGTCAAGGCCCCCTTTTCTTGCTACGTGGGCTCAAAGGTTTAATATCATTCCCAATCATCTACCCTAGCCAAAGGACAAGGAAGGTATTCAAGGGCTTGATAAATTACCAACCACAAGATTCTTGATGGTAGGCATATCATGATAATGTGCCCGTTTAAATTTCAGTTAGATATAATAAATTATAAAAATAATTGATTAAATAGTAGATTTTAATCATAATTAATTATGCTATAATACAATCTGTTTGGACACTATTTTTTTAAAATTTATTTTAATAGAATTGAAGATATTTGGATAATTTATCCAGAATCAATTTTAACTGTATAAATTACCATAAAAGACATTGCTTTTCAAAATTAAGTTATTGATAAATTTATATATAATATTATTAAATTTGCTAAATTTTATTTAAAAAGTAAAATATATTATTTAAATTATATATCTAATTAATTACAAAAATTTAAATTATATTAATATTAACAATTTTAATTTATGTAAATGAATAACTCAATATATCTTAGTTCAAATAAATTTAATAAAAGAGAAATATTTAATTTTTAAATACCAAACATCAATTCTATAATAACTAATAAAAATAATAATATATAAATTAATCTCTAATGACATTATAAATACGAGTTATATTTGATGAAGATGTTAGGCACTTTCTTGAAATTTGGTAATATAAAAAATATAGTAATGTAACAAGTGACACAAAATATCTCTCTTTCTGGACCTATGCAATAATCTTTATAATGACCATAAATTTAAAATTAAATTTTTTACCAATTAATATTTTATTTAAATTAGTTTTATAGTAAGTGTTAAGTAAATGGTGGTGGTTAACAGGAACTCATGCTAGCAACTTTCTTGAAGATTCAAAATTTGAATTTTACTAAGAAAAAAAAAAAGAAGAGAAGAGAAGAGAGTTTGGTTTTATTTTTATAAAATTTTGTGACTTTTTTTTTGGACCTTTCTTTGTAATTTTTTCCATTGCTTTTGGATAAGCAAAAAATTGTTTTTTTTATTTTTGAGGTGTTTGGCTAATAAATCAAAAAATTGATTTTTTTTAGTGAAAAAATTGATTAAAAACGCATCCAAACACGCACGATTTCATCATTTCATACTGCAATATTATCAAAATACTTATATCATTTCAGACTACAAATAATTTTATGATATTGGTATCATTTCATCTTATAATAATTGGCATCCTTTAAGTCTACAAAATTTTATAGCATTGGCATCAGTTTAGCCTAAAAGAATTCATACATTAACATCATTTCGGCTTATAATAATTGGCATCATTTTAGCCAATTATAAACTAATTTCTCAAAACATTTTTTACTTTAAAAATATAAGTCATAATCAAATTGTTGCCAGTTATATCTTGAATTAATAGTTATATGAATATTATTCTAAAGTTATCTCAAGTCTCAAATAATTGCATTTTTATATTTCTTTTATCTTGTCTTCTTTTTACTTATCATCCCTCCTATTAATAATCTTATTTCTTATGAGGGGACTAATTTAAAAATAATTTTAAATGAGAAAAGACTACAATATATCTATTTTTTTCTTTTTTAAAACTTGTCGACTCATCAATTGTTTCTTATTAAATGTGAATGAGTTGTTAAAATATGATATATAATTGTACCTTTTCACAACCAAGTTATGGCATTGTGGGTCATGGCACACCATCCACACGCCGCTACATGTGACACATAGGTTTCTCTCCTTACTTTTCTCCGCCTTTGATGTCTAAATGATCCAACTTCACTTCAAATCCAAATTTATGGTTAAAATTATAACTAAAACACTCATTATCCCTCTTTGACCAAGTGCTTCATAAATCCTACTTAAACTACCCATTATTAAGTTGATTATTGAGTGATTAATTTTCAAAATATTATAGGTTAAAGAATGATTGAAGAAGAAGAGGTATAGGATTGAGAGGTGGACATGTGTAAAGTTATTTGGTCAAGCTTCTTTTTAATTTTCAAAGTTTCACATATTTAAAAGTAGTAAGTCAATATTGCATCCTTTTTAAAAGTTTCATGATAAAATTACTTCAAAAAAAATTTTGGATGTTAGGTGCCTCTTGCGAAAAAATTTTAAGGTATTTTTACCCTTTAATCCTATAAAACAATATGGTATTGTACACCATATAGATATTGCCTGAGTTAGACCAGACTAAGTAGTTTGATGGCTTAGTCTGAACTTGGTTCAGTTTGACCAATCAACTCAATTCTGTTGGTTTGATTTTGTATCCTATTTTTTTTAACCTAAATTGAGTTTGTTCAGGTTGGATTAGGTTTTGTGCACATTCCTACCTTAGAAAAAATCGATTGAGTTTCTGGGGTTAGTGGTTTTTTGTTTTGTTTTTTTTTTAGTTGATCTCTTTCTCTTGTTATTTTGTTGATTACAATTTAATATAGTTTTGGTTGTTATAAAAGAAAAAGATCAATTAGTGCAAAA